CATTGCTTTCACCCTAGATGTGAAATGGTTCAGCTGGTGCTACTTGTTCCACATCATTTTCTTAGTCAGTGGGGTTCCCTGTGACGAAAGCTGTTTTTAATATACAAATATTGAAATTTTGATGGCTTTCATCTTTTACTACAACTCAAACAAATAAGGATATGAATCAAAAGAAGAGCTGGCCCGTTCCCCATATGCCGGTTTGGATGCACCAAGCTGACACACGCCCTGTTGGAGTCGAACCCAATCCTACGGGGAACTTCGGTGCTATTTCATTCGAATGTTTCTTTGGTTTGGTTTTCGGTGGTAAGCTGTTACTTAATAATAAAGCTTATCAACACCAAAGATATCAGCTGAGCATTGTTACCCAGACCCTTACAAATCCCAAATATATTTCTTCAGATCACTACGTAGCTTAGGTGGGAGAAGTTTGCGCCGGGTCCTGTCCGCCAGATCCAAGTCGTTGAGCAGAAGCCCCCGGCAGAGCCCAAACCAAAACGCCAACCCAAAAGAGCAGAACCCAAGGAAGCATGCGAACCCAAGAAACGGGGGCGGCCTCGAAAGCACCCCATTCTTGTTCCCAATGCTGCTGCTGTGCCCGACCAGCTGAGCCAGGGTGGGAATGGGGTTGATGCTGCGAATGCTGAGGTTGGAGGTGGTGCTGCGAATGCTGAGGTTGCAGGTGGTGCTGCTGCGAATGCTGAGGTTGCAGCTTCTGCAGCGAATGCTGAGGCTGAAGGTCCAGGTGCTGGTATTGCTGAACTCCCTCAGGTTGACCAAGGTGAAGGGGTTGAGGGTGTCGTTGGTGTGGGAGGTGCTGCCCCAGCTGAAGGTGCTGCCCCCGATGCTGTGCCGGTTGCAGATGATCGTGCCAAGGTTTATGGGTGTCCCAGGTGCTACTTCAGTCCTAAGGGTTGTTCGACCTGCCGCCGGCCCGAGTACAAACCTAGGAAACCCAAAGCCATGCCCAAAGCAAAGCAGGCTCCCAAAGCAGCAGCAGCAAAGAGCACAGCCAAGAAGGTCATGAAAACTCCGGGTCGGGGAAAGAAACCTGGCCGATCTGTTCGTGCCAAATCCTGAACAGTAGAAGCCTCTTACTCTCGATGGTACTTTTCTTTTCTGGTAGGTCTTGAATGAGTTTTCAACCATAATGGCAACTGCCAATGATTGCTGAGGGGGTTCCAGAATCCTGAGGTGGCTTTGTTGTATTGAACCAATTTGATTTCTCATTGCTTGGCAGATTTTTTCAACACAAATGTTGACTTGGCAACGCCACCCGGGTGGAACACAATCCATTGGGGAAAGCAAAGTTGGTTCAATGGCTATTTTGGTGATCTGCTACCCAAAAAGGGCCTACGGATCTGATGGCGAGAGCAAAGTGACCGGAGCTGGGAAAATTGGTGTGTTATCCTTTGGAATACATCAATGGTTACTAATATTTACTCATGGGGATTTTCAAAACAAGGTGGCCTTTTCCCCCTTAATACAAACTCATTTTGAGACATCCAAATTAATCATGGTACTGGGGAAAACCTCACTCACAGTATCATTTCCTGAAAGTATCACATTTGACACACTGCAACGTTTCATTAGTGTGGTTTACTTTGACTATGGTCTTCATCCATGCAGAATTTTCCATGCCTCAAGTTAGGACATGTTGCTATGTCCAATTTCGATTTGCCCCCAGTTGATGATGGCATTTCTTTGGGTGACCTTTTTCAAAATGGAAACAGAAAGCGGAAACTTGCGAAACCTGTGAAGGGTGTTAAGAGTAAAAAAGAAGATGTGACAGTGCCGCTTTCTGGGATGGCACCTTCATCGAGCTCATCAAGAAAGATTGGGCCCACCACAGCTTCAGATCTACCTCCTGATGATGATGGAGAGATTGACTTCTTCCACAGTGGTACTTTGAGTGCACCTCATGTTCTGCCGAAGGCCAAGCTGGCTCCGAAGGGCAAGGCTGCCCCGATTTCACGGAAATTTGCTCAGGCCAGGAAAAAGCATGTGGTTCTCCCTAAGGACCATAGGGATGAGCCGACAGAAGATGAGCTCAGGGAGTGGAGTCATGCTTCGCTAAAGCATGCTGCAGCATTGATTCCATCGGTGGTTGATATGCCCTACACAGACATGTGCTCCATGTTGGAAAGAGTGCCGTCCAACTACGTTGATCGCTGCACCCTGTGGGAAATCTTTTCGGTCCCACGGTTGGCTCCGTGCATTCGGGCGCTTGGTGGCACCTGCCGCCGAAGTTACGACATACAGCACTTCTTCAATTTGGGGAATGAAGGGTTTCAACGTACCTTGCTTCAGGACATCTCCACCTTTAGACCGTTTTACTTGAGCCTCTCACCTCCATGCACCTACCTATGCAAGCTCATGGCTTCGAACTGGTCTCGCATGCGAGGACAGCAAAAATTCCTGAACCTTGAGGATGGTTTGGGCTACATTGACCTTTGCTCTTGGCTGATGGCTTATCAAGTCAAACATGGTTTATACTTTGGGCTGGAACATCCACATGGCTCACTAGCGTGGAGCAGGGCTTCGGTTACTACATCTTATGTTTTTTTGAATTTGTTCCTTTGTAAACCACGTAAACCACTTTGTTGATTTCGAGCCCCTCTTGAAAAATATAGAGTTAGCTTTAACTTCCTCACCAGCCCTCCTGGCAAGGTTCAACGTGTGATGCAGCTGGACGAGTCCATCAAGCTCATCAGTTTTGATCAATGTATGTATGGTCTTGTTTCTAAGGAAACAAAGACACCGATGCAGAAGCGGACCTGCATGCTGACAAATGTCCCTGAAATCATAGCTGCCATGGATGGCAACTATTGTGACAAATCCCACCAACATCAAAAAATTGAGGGCACTGAAGGGAATGAAAAAAGATCCCACTTTGCCCAACATTATCCACAGCGAATGGTGGAGACTTTGTGCAAAGCTGTCTTTAGTTGCGAGAAGCGATGCCAAAGGCAGTGATCATGACTTCAGGGGATGAGTGGAAGAAACAACGCTTTTTTGATTCTCATCCGGGGTGCTGGACACTGCTGAGTTTTTACCCCAAAAGAATAAGTTTATTTTCAAGAAGTAGATTGGGGTGTTTCTCGGTTCGTGATTCCAGGAATCTTTTCATATTAGTGGGATGGGATGGCGGTTGTCTGGGCCAAGGGTATCCGTGAGCTTCCAGGGTCCTAAGGGGTTCCAACGCATGAAAGCTTACCCATTTGAATGCTCCATTTTCACCTTTTGGTTAAATACATAATTTCATATTCATAAACGGTCCCCTTCGCTACTTGACAAAAATTCAGTGAGAAAAAAGTAATGGTCAAGATTATGCCCCAACCACAAAGTAATCGAACAAAGTAGTTACACATCTAGACTATAAGTGCCATTTCCCGATGCTGTTTGACAATAATACAAATTTGGTATTGATATTTTGATGAGTTATAAAATGGTTTGATCACCCAAACATTAAAGCAACAATGCTCGCGCACTATTTCTGAACCAATGGAACAAAATTGAAATTGTGCATCTTCTTTGATTTGGTTCCCCAGGGTCCATGAACCTTGGTTCCACCCACTGGGTTCACCTACTGCCTTTTGTAGGTGCAGATGATGAATGGGCAAGGAAGAGCTTGCCTCAGATTTGCTGGGGGGAGACGTTGGGCTTTAACGATTGCCACCATCAATTGGTTTCTTCTAAGTTGAAAGGGGAATTGGGGCAAATGTCCTTAGTTCTTTCCCTAAAATTAAGGCGGTGTTACAAAAAAATGAATCAGGCAACCTTTAATTCCTCATGGGATTTACAACCCACTAATTCAACTTGAAATGCAAATCAAATATTTAAGGGTGCATTTTATCCTCATTAAATTATTGCCTGGGTTTATTCCTCAATTTTTGGCAATGACCGAATACATAGTGAATGGTTTGTCCCCATCAGTTTTAAACTACCAATGTTTGAGCACTTCATTTTTGTGGAATGACTGATTTTTCCAGATCTCAACCATCAAATTGTAAAGAAGTTTCTCTTGAATGATGGTTTCAAGCTTCTTTGGTATTTCACAAACATCCCAGGGTAAAAAGAAGGTATGGAGACCCCATTAATGTTGGAACCACCATTCAATTCAAATGTCAAAATTCCGTTTTATATCCTGTAACAAATCGTTCTAAAATAATATGTCCATGTGTCCTCATTACATGCAAGAAAGTAGCTTCCAGGGATTATCTTGGTTGGTATTATACGAGGGCATGGTTGCATACCTTTTTGGGGGACGATACATGTAACAACATGTTTTAAAACAATCCCCTAATCCACCACTGCATTTATTTCTTGCCTGCTTTGCTCAGGCTTGGGGCCTGGTGGAGATGCTGGCTCACCCAGTGGTTATGGGTGGTTGGTAGTCACGTCGGGTGGGAACCCAAACGAAATCTAAATATTAATGTTGATATTATTTCTGGGTTGGCTTAAGATTGGTTTTGGGGTCATGGGTATATATTATCCTTCCATTGTCGGACCAATGGCAAGGAAATAATGCATTTATGTCAATTTGGGTCCTCGAAGCACAACCCCCAACAAAAAAACTTGTTATGCGTTGCGATGGATACGGGATCCTCCAAACCAAAAGATCGGCAAATTTTTTTTTCCTAAATCTCAAAATCAAGGACCCCGAATCTTTTGCGGCAAAAATCATTGTAGAATATAATAGTAGTGCTGTTTCCCAAGTCCACATGCCAATTTCTGCACCCTGAGATCGGCAATTTTTTTTTTTCCTAAATCCCAGGGTACAACCTCTGTATTGCCCAAGTCTAGGTGCAGATTTTTGCGACCTTACTTAGGCAATACCCCACCAAGCACCTAGGATATCGTCAATTTTTTTTTTTCCTAACTCAGGGTGCTGATTTCTGCGCCCTGACTTCGGCAAATTTGCTGTTGGACATTGCATGTAAAGGATTTTGGGTTCCACCATCCGTCCTCTCACCCTTGCCTGTCGGGCTCTCGGTGCGATGGAGACCATGGACACACAGGCATGGCTTGACTCAGATGAGGATTGGGTTGGGGCCGGGGCCAAAACTTCAGGTAGAAGATTAGCATTCTTATGGGGATGTTTTCAACTATTTCGGTTTTCCACAAATCCCACAAGTACTACTTTGACATGGCTTTAAACCATCGAATTTATCAGGAATAATATATAGATTAGATGGGGGTGTCTAAAGATATGGGTGCCCCAAACCCTTTTGGATCATATGTCCATCAAGAAGCATTTTTTGGATCATGTCCATCATTCAAAGAGACATGTTTTGGGCATCATTCCCTGGGATCCCTAACATCTCTTAATCAATCATTTAGATATATAAGTCCTAAGACCATTCACAGCAAACATCCCTCTAAACATCTATGTATCTCTCATCATGGGCATACCCGATTTCCTAATGGAGATCTGGAGGTGACATGCGTATTGAATCTTTCTGGCCATGGATATGTGCAAAAAAGGGGAATAATTAATGAGTAGTTCCTAAAAAGGAAACCCCTACCTCTAAATGAAAGATGATCGTTCGAATTGTTTTTTCTGGGTGAAAGGTCTTTGAAAAGAAAGAGCGGGCCCCAGGAGATGCAGAGCGATCATGGCGCAAGTGGCACTGCCCGGGATCTATTTCCAAGTGATTGCTCTGACCAGATGTCCATCACCACCATTCAGTCCGAAGTTGTTTTAAGCAACAAGGAAAAGCTCTTCGATCTAGCTTTCAAGGAGTTCAAGAGTTTTTTGGTATTAATTCAGGATATGAACCAAACCCCTTTTCCCCTTGAAGTATTGTATCACAATGGATATTGAGGATAAGAACTACTGGTCTTTCCCCCTTATAAGATTTAAACATGGGTTGGGTGTGATTATTCTAGTTTGGAAGTTTCCCCAAAACCATCTATCTCTAGGTCATGGGGGTGTCCGGCAATATCTGCATCGTATGTTTCCAGATGTGGGTGCACGAGCTGAAGATTTGGCAAAGGTGCTGCAGAATGCAATCCCCAAGTCACAGGATGTGGACTATGTTGAAAACTATCCCTTGCCTTCTTGCTTTCCAGGACCCTTTAGAATATCCAAATCATCGAAATGATAATGGTTTTATTTAGGTGTTCCAAAAAATCTTGGTGTTGAACAATAAATGCCAAGCCCATCCAATGCAACCGTGTGGCGGTGTTGGATCCAGGACAGCAGGAGTCGCATCCCGCCTTCGTGGTTCCACTGTGGCTTTTTAGCGTTCAGAATGAATCAAGCCTAAGGGAGCCGACGGCATTGGACATCTCAGGAAAGCTTCTTCAGCAGTATGCCACTGACGGGTTTGTGACACAAGGTGAACCAGTGATGCTACGGGTTCAGGTGGGATACTAGTCCTGGACCAAGTGGTAACTATTGGTAACTATGATACCCCCAATGGAATGGTAATAATGGGATAAAACACCTATCAAAAAATCAGCACAAGATTGTCAATTCATGTGTCTCTTTTTTGGTGATTTCTTGGCAGGCGCCCCATATCAAAAAAAAATCTGGTGGCCCAAGTTTCCAAATGACTATGAGACGCTTATTCATCATGTTCCCCCGTTCAGGATGATGCAGTGGTTCTTTCCAAGACAGCAGTTCCACCCGGATCTTTGTGGTTCTTGAAAGGGGCTGCAAGGGTGCACACGGTTATGGCCTTGGTGGTCTACTTGGTCAAGCACACAAACTGCACTCTTCAGGTTAGGGGGGTTGGACAAAAAGTTTTCTTGGCAAACAGCCATGTGGTTAATGTTGGCTCCATGCATTAGATGTGGGCCCTGAAAAGAATATTGTCGAGGTTACTGACCCCTTGCTTTACAAGACCTTGTCTGCGATCCAGTGCAAGCACATGCGTTTGCAAAACAAGCAAGCGGAGCTGTACCCAGCCTAATTAATGTTCATGAAATAGTTGCTTTTACAATCCCAAAATAAATGATACCCCCCAGAAGGGAGTCAAAAATCTTTACCACAAAATGGAGTACAAAGTAGAAGTACCACTGGTCGTTAATGCCACCTCAAATTATATTGAAATCTCTCAAAATAGGGGATCCCGATTTTCTTGCGAATGAGAAAGAATAAATTTGGGGATCCCCCAATGAAGTCAAGAGTATTATTGGCCTGTTTGTTTTCTGTCTTTACCACGCACAACATGGAGTTAAGGTTTTTCAACATGAAGGAATCGGTCAGAGGCGGTATCCGGCAGAAACCAAGTGCTCTTTCGTTTGTATACAGCTTCATCAATCTAGCGTCATGGACACATAGTGACCCAGCGAGCATGATTCGAGCTTGGTGCCTTGTCAATTTGTTACATTCAAGTGAGTTTTGTTTTTACAATCCCAAGGTTTATATGCATACTTTGCACGAGGGCCCAAACCATGTCACTACTAAATTTTGTTTGGTGTTGTTTGTTTCTGGAGGATAACGGTTTATCCGAAAATGGTGTACAACTGTAAAACCCTCAAAGCAGTTGAATGGGATAATGAGACTAATTGTAATTCATTGGAATTAGGGGCACCCTCTTTCAGCACATATTTGATGCATGTTTTGAATGGGGACCCCAACCAGGAATGATGAAGCTTCACGGGACGATCGGCTGGCTGGTGCCAAAAAAAATTCGGTGACATCCATCTTGGATCTTCCCAATCAATGTCGTGAAGTCTTACTGGCAACAGTGAGTGAGTTTGGCTTTGATGGTTCCTAGCAATGCTTTGTCATCTTGTTGATACTGTGTTTGTTGTGTTTGTTTCACGGAATGGTTGGGGATTCGCTTTGGGTTATTTGGGGATGTCTCAAAATGCCGCGCCTTTTTATTCTTAGAGCTCACATTTTTAGGGCCAAAAAGGGCAAATCATTTTGAAAGAGATACCTGTTTTGGGTTTCGAAAAAAGTTGCTAACTGTTTTATTATGAAATTTGCTGTTCCTCAATGAGGTTCCCCCTACACTGATGACAATCTCGGCAGCAAGAAGTACCTCCCCGGGTATTCCTTCAAAGGGCGCGCAGTGCCCCGCAAGTCCCCATGGGTGGAACGAGGCAAAGTTACTAAGGACAGTTGCCTGGCTATGTTTACCATGATCCACAGCCAGCACTGCAAGAATCCAGACCGCAAGTTGCTGAAGGCCCATCTGGAGGAGAAAGCTGAGATTTGCGCGTTGGCTTGTCCCTTGGGTTCAATGTTCAATGTTTTGGGGCAGTGTAAACTCATGATGTATTTAAGGCCTATACCAATGGTTTCAGGGCATTGTTTTCTATGACCTGTGCAGTCATCAGGTGCTTTGATCCAGGAGGTTGCGGCGGAAGTCCCAAACTCTGAGAAAGAACTTCGGGACCGGTTCTTCGCCCTGTGAATTAACAAGTCTGCTCCTTCCTCAGTATTATAATAGCTGCTAGTTCTTTCGTTTTCAAGTACCTTTTGATTTGGTGGATTCAAACTGCACAAAGCAGAACAAGGTATTTGTCCAAACTTCATGCTGGGGATGCGATTGTGGAAACCGAGCTGCGGAGTGCTCTGATGACAAAAAGTGAAAAGTATGTTGCCCGAGACAACACAAGTAGCTTGGACAAATCAAATTTTGATTTAAGATACGATAGTTCAATAGCTAGCTTACCGTCTTATTTCTTCTCCATCTGAATATACAATATGATTAAAGGTATTGCGAGCATCCTGAATGACATGGGTGGCAAAAGTGGCCCAGACGGTACTTCCATAGAATTGCAATCGGCAGTGGAAATTGGAGAGCAAAAGGTTGCCCATCAGGCCTACCAGTTGTTGATGACGGAGTTGGACTTTGATGTGAAGAGTTGGCGAGTTCACCAGCGAAAACTGAAGGAATATGACGTACGACTCTATCACCAGAAGGATCGGTGGCAAATCGATAGGCACCAGGCAGCCAAAGCAGGAGCGGCGAAGATTCTGGACAAAAAGGTGTGTTGTTTGAATGAACCTGTGAAAAAAATATTGAAAAATAGATCGTTTAAGGCTCGTCCTGCTGTGTTACTATTGGTAGGTTTGGGCAACGTTTCTCACAACAATGTTATTTTTTTACACTGTGGTGATGAGTTTTTTAATGGTTTTCCCCTGAGGTTTTCACCATCACCTGGCCTGAGAAGATCCTGCCCGGCACAGCCGTAGAGATTGTGCAAACTATGGCGGCTGATTCCAAGGCATGGGCTCACACCCTCAAGTGCAACCATGTTGTTCCTTGCTTTGGATTGTTTTCCCTGTTGGGCTGGAAAGCTTTTGGGACCTGCAGCTGAGTGTTTCCACAGTAGGCATGGGGCTGGCATTTCTTCAGTGGTCTTTAAATCTCTGAGGTGACTCTTCATGTGCTGAACTTTGCTGCTCCACCTCTTGTGAAGAACGATGTGCTGACAGCAGCAACAAAAATCACTGGCCACCACTTCATGGCATCACCGAAGGACACGATCGGAATCTTGCTGTCTCCAATCTTTTCCCACAAGCCGGGCACACTCTTCATGGATGAGCACATGGTTTTGAAAGCACTGCATTTGGACAGTGTGTTGGTGGATATGAACGTGCAGCCGTGCTTCGACCCCAAAAGCAAGTCTGATACTTTTTTGTGGATTCAGAGCTAGCTTTTGGTTTACATGTTGTTCTTGTTTATGTGTTTTTTGTGTTTTGATTTTAGATATGATGTGTGTGTGCCTGTCACACTCAAAGTTCTTTGTTGGGTTCATGGGTCCCTTAGTACATGTATGACACCTTGATATTTTCGATAGGGGGGATACTTCTGATTAAGGACCAGAGAGACCAACGGCCACTTACATACCCATGTCGCCTGCTCTCCGCAATGATGGACAAGAATGACAAGATGAATGAATGGGTGTGGCGAAACTGTGCCCTTGCTAAGAACGGGAGAAACCTTGATGAACCTGCTCAGCTGTCACAGAAGGATTGACATTCTGTTTCCAAAGTGTTCAAAAATGGACCCAATTTTCCAATTTTTCGATCAAAGGATAAACCTTGTAACCCTGCAGGACCTGATCCAGATTGAGGAAGCTGACAAGCTCCCGCTTTCAAATGTTGATGACCGAGTGCGTGGTGGAACAAAGTATGCGCAGGTTGGAAAAGATGCGGCCCTTTCGTTGTTGAAGAGCATGACTGATTCTTAGCTTACCGTGTTTCATTTTTTCCACGTTTCTTCCCCTGAATGTTGCCGGAAGAAGATTCGGTGTTGATTGGTTTCCACTGGACAGTTTTTAAGGAAGGAGTGACCTGGTCCTCAGCGACCTGCCTGTACATCATTGACTACGTCCCCGTGGTTGGTGATTTCGCACATGCGGCTTTGATGCTCAGTTCTTCCTTGAATATCCCTGTGCGATATGCAGCACTGCTTGATTCTTCCCATGAGGAATGGCTTTCCGACAGCTTGATGCAGAGTTTGACTGACCAGCTCTTGGCAGGACAAGTACAACCCCCGAATGGCATCACCATTCCAGCGGCAGATCCACCTCCTGAGCACATGGACCAAAAACCTGACCCACCCCAAATGAAGAAGATGACTTTCATCAAGGTACCAAACGGTCATTCAAACGATGTTTGGGGTATGGAATATTGGGTTGAATATAGTTCTACATTTACCATGTTCCTGTTGTATGTTTTCGTATGCTTTCATCCTTGCCCTCCCAGGTGGATGGTGAAGTTGCTGGAATCCAGGTTCCCGATCAGGTTCAAAAACAGTGGCATTCCAACCCAGTTCATGGCACCGAATTCCGGGCTTGGATGGAAACGTTCAATGAGGAATTTCCCAAACCAGAAAAAAAGGGGGCCAAACGAAATGCGTCGGCAGCGGCAGGAACCACCAATACCCCCAACAAAGTGCAGAAAGTTGGGGCAAAACCAATTGACATGTCGATGTTTGGGCCACTGCTTCGGGAGAAGGGGAAGGAGCCTGAGGAAACAGTGTTGCAAAGGGTCAACCTCCTCAACCTTTCCAACATTGATCTTGTCATCCAGACTGGGGCCATCTTTGTGACCAATGTTGGTGAACAGAAAGTTTCTTGATATCAAAAATTGCTACGGTTCCCCCAAAAAAACACCAAATTTTACCCCAAATTCTATGTCAGCTTATGAATATATATATATATATATATATATATGTACATATATATATATATATATAGGATTTGGGATATATAGCTGAATCCATTTCCACAATCTGTTCTGTTTAGATTGTGAGCAGTTTCATCCCATGGTCCTTTGGGGTGATGTGTACTGTAATGATAGCACCTATCTGATTTCCAAGGTGTGCATTCCAGAGGGTACCAGCATTTGCGGGTTCGGCCGGGGCAATTTTCGATTTGGTGGTGAGCAGACGGCTGCTCAAGACCATGAGATTCACTACTTGATCAAGTCAGCAGACCAAATTGTGATCATGGATGGGCGCGCGCATTACCTTGGTGACCTTTTGGAGGCCCAGCGGTTGAAAGCCCCCGATAAGCCAGGTCTTCAGTACTACGAGGCGACACTGGAGAAGGTAGAGCAGAAGTGGGAATTGAAAAAGGCTGGGCATGCAATGTAAAAAAACATGTCTGAGATTGGAATTTAGAAATAAATATTTCCTGAAATCTCCAGAAGGCTAGCTTGACCTTAGGGTTTATGTTGAATAAGTATGGGTTTGAGTTTGGCCCTTCAGTTTGGCACTTCCTTAAAGACATGTCCCCAGAGGTGAAAGACTTGCTGTTCACACCGCGCATGGATGAGGACAAGAATAACCAAACCACGTGCGCAAAGAATGCCAGTCCAGTGTTGAAGTGGGAGAGTGAATGGACAGGGATTGCATGGCATGTCAAACAGACATCCCAGGGATTGCAGCCCCAAAGACCAGTTGTTATTGCTACCCAGGGTGTTGAGATTGATGTCGGTCAGTCACTTTTGGTAGACACCCTGCGATAGTTTCACTGTTTCATGCTACTGCCAGGGTATCCCAGCACTCAGGTTGGATTTTGAACCATTAAATTTATATCTCGGGGTACCCCCACTTTCAATTAATTGTCTTGGTCCCAACATGTTGTGAGTGGCTGGCGGAAGAAACGGTAGCGGCAGAAAGGTGGCCAATGATGTTATAGGTTCCAAACCAAACTGCTGGAACGCTGTCCATGGCCACAGTGCGGGTGGGCAGGAATGAAAACAAATAGCATTCATACTCTTGCTATTGTGTATGCTTCCGTGTGCTCACCCGGCGCGTTTGTCAAACGCAAAATTCCACAGCCTTTGGGGCATTGGGAAAACATGCTGGTTACACCAAATTGCGTGATCAAGTGCAGGCCTTACAAATCTTGGTGAGCCAATTCCCCTTATTATTGCCTACTTATCATTTGACGTAAAAGCGAATGTATTTGGGATGCACATTTGATATCAATGGAATTGGACTACTTATATATTTTTTGGGGTTCACCCAGACCTGCCCATGTGACCCAGGCCCTGCAGCCAAATGGCCATGTGACGAGCCTGGGACTTTGGGTTCCTGAGGCGGTGGGGGTGCCAGACTCTGCTGGTGTGGCTTAAAAATTGAAACATTTGTGGGAGTTTATGAGCTATTTCTTTGCCCCATTCTCCATTATATTTAAGAAATAAAAGTATACATCATCCATATCATAGCGCCTCAACTTGACACAAGCCATCGCATTGCTACTATGTCGAATTGTTTTGCGTCAATATATCACTGTAATGAAACACTGGTTTGGTTTGATTGAACATAATTTGTCAGATGATCAGTTGAAGTGAGAAGCTACTAAAAAATCATTGTTATATTTTTTTTGGTTGGGGAATAAAAAGGCCCACACACCACAGTCTAATACCCAGCTCTGACATTGCAAAGGAAACCCAACTAACCATTTTGAATGCTAAGGTTTACATGGGATCTTCAGCTAGGAAAGCACAGGGAAAATCATCTATTGAAACTAGCTTGAGCTGCCCTGAAAAAAGACACCATTTGGGGTTTAGAAATTAGCTTGGGTTCCTAACAATAAATATCCTCCAATCCAACCAGCGGAGCTGACCCTGCCTTCCGTCAGGCCCCTTATATGATCATCCGTGTTGCGTTTCCCGAGCCAATAGTAGGTGCAAAATGCATTTCCACAAATGGGAAGTTTAGGCAGTTGTTTTTATAAGGATGTTTACTTTCACAGTGGGTTTGCCTGTTCATTTTTGTCAAAGCAAATCCCCATTTGAAAGAACTAGTGTTGGGTATATCCCATTTTCTCACATACCAGCAAGACACTCCAAAATTCAAACCTTTTGGTGGTGATTGGAAACTCCTAAACCTGTACTGTGTGCAGGTGGAAACCAACTGCTGTGCTGTCAAGCCCCACTCTAGCTCCCAACTGGTTTGAGCGTGGCTCCCACATGGTTGAGCGGAGTGGGGCAAATACTACGGGGGATGAGGACTGTATTGGTGAGGGATGGGGGAAAGAAACTGGAAGGTCAAAGTGGGAGCTTTCATAGGCCATAGGTGGTTGAGCTCCTGCGGGGACAGTGGCTTGGGACGTCTGGCAGGTAAGAGCCACCCAGCACCTCCCATACCCCTAGGAGAAATTTGGTTTGGGACATCCCAATTTATTGTCATCATTGTCATTGGCTCTTCATCATCAGTCTTCGTTTGATTATATTTTACCCACCCCTATCATGGCTATCAACTTCCCTCTGAGAGAGGGCAGGAAGAAGGACGAGGTGCACCTTGCACAAGGAGTGGCCAGAATACAAGGCCTTCAAGGCGTGCTTTCCGCGATCTGAAGAGCAGCCTATGACGCCGGACTTGCGGGCGACTTATCTGGCCAGGGAAACGGCGGCACACAGTGGCTTGAGACACGGTTGGTCGTGCTCCCGCGTTTCCAAGGCATTGGACTTGGGACGAAGTTGCCTGAGCTCGTGGCGGCCCAGCGTGGCGCGTATGGCTTGTGTCTTATGTCCAAGACCAAGCACTCCCATGAGGGTTGCCAGTTTGCAAAGCTGATCTTGGGCTAGTTTGGCCACACTTGGCACAATGGAGTTGCTCTGTGGAGCAGCCCGGCTGCATGCATCTTGGCAGCTGCAGCCATGTGAGAATGCGGAGCTGGCGGCCGTCCCGAGGGTGTGAAGAAAAGGTGAGCAAGGACAGATTTTCGAGACTGTGGAGCTGGAGGCCATCCCAGGAATGTCACAAAGGTGAGCAAGGACTCTAATAGAATATATAGCAGTATCTTAATTAACATTTGAAGGCAACAATATAACCCCTGATGATTGTTTCTTACCTATGCCTAAACCAGAACAATTTTCCGATAATGGAACCTATCTTCACATGGGCTGCCAGTGTTTTATAGCTCAGCTGAAGGGGTCTGAGCTTGGTTAATCCATGTCAATGATAATAGCCAAGGGAATTTGATATGTAATCATCCGTGTGGTTGGGCCTTGGAAAGCTAATATCTAAATTTACCATTGTTAAAAGATAGTTCTGGGACAAAATAACTAACTTAATAATTCGAATTCCCCACCTGCCAGGTGAGGGTTCTTAGATTTTATCACGGCTGTTCCGGCTCCTCCTCCTCCTCCACCTCCTCCTCCTCCTTCTCCTCCACCTCCTCCTCGTCCTCCTCCTTCTCCTCCACCACCTCTGCCTCCACTTCCATGTCCACTTCCGCCTCGCCAACTCTTCGCCAATCTCTTCGCCAACTTCCGCGCGCAGTGGGCACTGCTGGACCTCAACTGCCGGCTTCCGATCTGAGTGGGCACGGCTGGACTTCAACCGCAAGGTTCTGAGCGCAGTGGGCACCATTGAATTGGACTTCAACCAGGGACCTTCCGAGCCCAGTTGGCACCGCTGGACCTCAACCTAGGGCCTTCGGAGCCCAGTGGGCACGGCTGGACCTCAACCTGGGACCTTCCGAGCTCAGTGGGCACCGCCAGATAGAATGCCAGAATATATGCCAGAAAGACTGCCAGAATATATGCCAATAGATTGCCAGAATATATGCCACATAGAATGCCACAGGGAATGCTAAAAAATATGGTAGAAAGAATGCCACATAGAATGCCAAAATATATACCAGATAGAACGCCAAAATATATACTAGATAAAATGCTGGAAGATATGCCAGATAGAATATCAGAATAGATGTCAGGTAGAATGTTAGGTAAAATGTCAAAATATATGTCAGGATATATGACTTGAAATGCCAGGGTGGGGATCACTCGAAGTAAAGTAATTTTAGATATCACTGCTTAATGCTTCTTCCCTGTAATTCTGATTGAAAGGTCCAGAAAAGGATCTTTGCGGATTGGAAAATTGCAGATGGATATTTATCGTATGAAATCTGCCTGATTTTGCTTCAAGGCTTGTAATTGTATACACATTAACGCTATAGTATTGGAATCTAGGGTTCTTTGTCACAGAGACAGATATAAAATTCAAATCTAAGCGGAAAACAGAAACGTAACATCCGTTATATAAAAATCCTGGTAGTGAACCTGCACATATTTAGTACCAGTATTAGCATCACCATGAATGGGGAATAGTTAATGAACAAATTGTCCTTTGTAGATTCCAGCAACCCGGGGTAATATTTTGATGGTAGACAGCACACCGGGCCCATCCGCCAAAATCCCAGCCGACTGGCAGGAACTGCTCACTGGTTGTGGTGGCCACCGGCCACCACCCACCGGGTGGTGGTGTGGGGTTGAAGGTTCTGTTGGATAATGGATATGATATAAACATAGAAATAATGGGGAAAATTAGTCCTTCAGTAAAGGAATGACCATCAGGGATAATATTTGTGGTTTTATATCAAAGGTATATGGGGATACCACCGTGGTTGAAATGAATAGATATAGTGATATAGTACATACCCTATAAAGGGATGGCACCCATTCCATTTTAATCCAGCAATTGGTCGGGTATCCTATAAGGGAAGTGGTAGTGGACCCCTGCTTATCCAAAGAATAGGATAGAAAAAAATAACTATAACCGATACTGGGATGATACCAATTTAATCAACCTATTGGTTGCCTAAGATTGAAAATAATAATGCACATATGATTATCCATGAGCATGGTAGAAAACAAATCGATAAATGAAATAACTAATGGTAAGGTGACACCCATTTAATCAACCAATTGGTTATACCTCATAGGTGGAATAATGCACATATGGTTACCCATGAGCATGATATAGTAAATAACCAAAGGTAAGATGATATCCATTTTATCTACCCACTGGTTACCTCATAGGGGGAACTAATAATCCATGAGCATGGTAGAAAACAGATAAATACATTAACAAACCAATGGTAAGATGATACCCATTTAATCAACCAATTGGTTACTTCATAGGGGAAATAATAAGGTATCTATAATACAATTCAATACCACCATATATTAAATTTGAAAGACCCAAGAATCCATTTCCACAGACCCCAGATCAATTGCAATACCTTATCAATGCAAAAACTATGAGATAGAGAAGCAGGATGGGAACAGCACCAAAACTTAGCATTGTTTGGTTCCAGACTGGTTTATATAAACAAACGCAATGGATTAACAAATTAATTCCAGGATTTCCGAGTCTTTAATGGTTAAAAATTGGGTATATCACCAAAAAGTAGCATTTTTCACCACATTTTCACCATATTTTGATACAAACTCTGACAGATTTCTTGGGGCGCCCTGTGCCCAGTCGCCGCTTCCTGTGGTGCCGCCATGTTGAACGCCATTCGCCATGGAGACATCGACGCGAGGCGGTGTCCACTCTAATGAAGAAACGCTTCCTTGGATCTACTAGTGTACTGGTTGCTAAAACATGCTTAAACCAATTTTATAAAGCATCGAAAACCATTGCCAGATCTCCATAAATGAAGATCATCATGGATGCAGATTGGAGTCGAATGTTGCGGGTGAAGGACTGTTGCCACAATCTCTGGACTTGACTCGCCATATCGATCCATATCGACCGTAATGGGACCAGTCCTGCCAAGGTCCAATGACTGAAAATCAACTAAGATATGTAGACAGCCAATATTCCTGTAGGCGAAAAGACTGAGTCCATGCAATCGATTTTTGAGAACGCAAATGACCAGAGATCTCTCCCACTAATCGCGTGTTTTGCTGGAAACACGTAAAATACACAAAGGATCACAAACTCACAATGTAAGGGTCCAGCAATACCGCCCGGTGTTTGAGTTTTCTTGAAATCGTGAGGTGTAGTACAAAAATTATCCACTGCATATAAGTTGAATATATTCTCCAGCTCCCATGATAAAGATTGACAACGAGTGCATATATGGAAACGTGGCACAAGGCAGCCCTGGCTCGTGGGTATGGACCTGACGATCCTGATGGGGTTCCCTGGACCACTTGGGCGCGACTTCACACCCCGGAAGTGGTTCTGTTTCCGGGTCGATCATTCATTGTCATCTCACTTTTTGACTACCCCCTGGTAATCAAACATCCTATGGACAATCTCCATTCGTTTTGATTCGTTTTGATTGAAGCCATTTCCAAAGTTCAGGCACTTTTTTCTTGAAAAAAGGCTTCTCCGAACTTTTTTTGCTTCCAATCTACACACAGCATCACAGGTTACATCAGTTTTCATAAACCAACATTTTTAGCGATCCCAACTTGCCTTCATCTGAGATATCTAAGATATCTAAGACCCCATTCAACAACCAAAATGCCAGGGGCCTTTGCATGATTTGGGCAAGATGTCACTAGAGCAAATGACCTGGGTCCTGGGTAGGCTCTCGGTGTTTGGGCTGCGACTACTTCCAAGTTGTCTGCGAGTACTACTGTGGATGGAAGAAATCCTGCACCAGTTGATAGATGGTTCATACCATTTATTTATAGGGTTTCAACCATCGAAGGTGGTGCAGGATTTCTTCCATCCACAGTAGTTCGATATCAATTTTCCAATCATTCAGCCGCTCGCTTACCTTGAACCTCCTGGCAAGAGAGTGAAATGATGACAGGAGACATTGCTCGACTGCCGCACTTTTTACAGACCTTCACTGGCATGATCTTCTTCGCTGCATTCTTCGCTTCCCAATTACCTGGAAACTGAGATGACGTTGATGTTTTGGGTAGATTGAGCCAGTGCTCCATAATTTGTGGACTGTGTAAAGTCGAACGAACAATAGACCCTCCTGCAAATAAAAGTGGCCGCAGAAAATCAACCGTGTCCAAATAATTTTTGCAGCTAGAAACCTCCATTTATTTAACGCGGATTTTCAATGTTTGATTACCAAAGGGTATCGTCAACAGTGGGCTGACAACTTGGCTCATCAGCCTGAAATCACCCCACCACTTCCCAAGATGTTCTCTTCCAAAACCACCGTTTCTGTATACCCTCTGGTAAACATACAAAAAGCTATTGAACATGGCCATTTATAGTGGATTTTCCCATTAAGAATGGTGATTTTCCATAGTTATATTAGTTACCAAAGGGTATTTCTGTAGTGTTTTGATAGAAACAGCCACTGATGTTGTGAAATGTTGTGAAAGCTGCGGAAAAAAAAAACCGATGTTCAGCAAAACTGGGGGTGTTCACCCCATCGGTGGCCAAAACCCCAAGCCCTTAACCATCCAATCATCCATAACATGACCATAGAATACCATAGATACATCTATCTAACATTATAGAGTATAGTATTGTATAACCCATAGGATCCATGTATGGTATATATGCTAACATTTGGGGTATATTAATGGTAAATGTTACCATATATGGCATACATGGATCCTATGGGTAATATAAAATATATCAACCATTCCCACATAGCAATTTTGAACAATGCCATGTTCATTCATCATTTTCACCACATCAACCACTCGCTCCGACATCCGAGTTGCAACGCTCGCAGGTGGACGGCAGCACCTGGACTCGCACGCTGCTCGCGTCCCAGTCCTCGGGGATCTTCCGTCGTGTGCGCCACTCAGGGGACTTGTTCTTCAGGCTGCGCGCCTGTTTGATGACATGCTCCAAATGATGTCTAACCTGCAACGATTTCGCCGGAAAAAAAGCAAAAAAAACATGTTTTGCTGTCAAACAAGGGTGGTCCTGAAAACTACCAAGGTGCAAAGTCACGATAGGGGTGAACATGAGCCCAAAACGACAATGGCATATAATGGCATATAATGTCATATAATGGAATATATGCATATCACACAGCAAAGCAGTACGTACGATTGATGCATTCAAAACATGTCAAAACCATCTGAATCTATATACATGATTATACATGATTATACATGGAGGACCTATTGGGGTCTAGAAACCCAACAACTGATGCCATTCTTATCATGGAAACATCCCACGGATAAAATCCGTCCGGTTTTGCGTGTGTTGACCTCGAGACACAAAGGGGTGTTCAATGGAAACCCATCATGCCTGGAATGTCAGAATATACGCAACCAAATTGGTGCTTTCCACATCTTTACACCAACGACAATATGGGATTTCACAGAGTTCTTATCATGGTTCATTGATGTTCATTGAAGGTAAAAGTAGAACTGGTTGGTGGTTTCAACCATCTTGAAAAATATTAGTCAATGGGATGGATTATCCCATATATTATGGAAAATAAAACATGTTTGAAACCACCAACCAGAGAATATCCTCAATCTTCAAGTGTCAAATCACCCAGATCGGTGACTCTAAGACACGTCGCCTCTTGAAGGCTCAAGTAGGTCGCCTGAGCCAAACTGCTCAAGGTGTGATACTCTCCGGTCGTCAGCATGCGCCAAAGACGTATTCTCGCTGTGAATTCATCCGACACCTGGCACATCAACAACATGCTCTTCAACCCAAGGCTATGAAATTTGACATCTGGAATTCAAGACATTTTCGTTGGGTTACATGGGGATTCCTAAGTATGACACAATTGTTGGTGCTTGAGCTACCATAGACATGACTGGTTTTCTAGTAAAATGATGGATTTTTCACAGCACCAGCGATGGCGTGTCTTGGCTACCCTTCAGAATAGGGAACTTTGCCAACGGGTGATATGATGTATTGATCCATCAAAAGGGCTCCAAATTGAATCATTCACATCACCAACTTGTCACATAATCACATAGTTTCCTGGCACTTTCCTATGCATGTTCCATCATTTTCCTGCAATGTGAGCCCCCCCAGTTATAAGTTGGTTTATAAGCCCCAGTAACTATAATTATAACTACCATAAACCATAGTTATTGGAGTTATAAACCAACTTAGCTATCTTGGGGGCCTCACATTGTGTAATATATATATATATATATATGTTCCCAGAAAATAACGCCAAAGCTCGGATTTGCTGGGCACGAAACAATTTTTAACAATCAGCATACATCTGCCCTCTAAAAAAAAACGAACGGTGGATGTCCAATTTGGAAATCAACAATCATCTCAAGCAAACCCAAGAAAAATGGCTTGCATGAAATCATTGTGACTGTCTCACCTCTTGACTTCGCCCGCTCAAACATCGCGTTGCGACGGACATCATTCCGACCCCAGCCAGAATCGGAGCTGGCATACCTGAAGGGGGCCAGCTGGGCATGACATGTGGAGGTTTAGCTGTTTAGCCAACCAAAGTCAGGGTTTTTCAGCAGTGTACGTCAAGAATATCGATCAAACTCCAGGGTTCTTTTCGAATGGGTGATTTTACCCAAGAAACAATAGGCCGAAATGGGGGTTTAAACAACAGAACTGAAGAATCCACCAATATTCAGCAACTGTTTTGAAGGCTGAACATATTCCTTCAATGATTCTGACATCAGCGAATGATTGGTGAGTTGGAAGAATCGTTGAAACCAACGACATGGATTAACACAATTAACACCAAAGCTATAAATATCAGTGATATACATGAAAATTTATATAATATTTATATACTATCTATCCATCTATGGGATATGATTGGGTGGACATCACCCAACGACTCACAGCAACCCTGTCCTGAAGGGCGCAGCTTCCTCCAGATCCTCCCATGAGATCTTTGCGGTGTCCCGTCTGCAGGGCATGGTCGAAGACGGCATCCCAACATCTCGTGACTCACCGCGGGATGGCGTCCCATGGCGCGCGAAAAAGAAATGGGGCCTTTTTAGCAAGGCTGTGGAGGCGAGGATGAAGATTTGGCACATGGAATGCTTGTGGATTTATTCAATGAGAATTTCAGGATCCTAAAATGGAGGTACTGTACCATATAGGGCATATTTTCTAGGGATATTCCCTTACATAGGCCTTATATAGGCCTTATATATGGTAGGTACCTCCAATTTAGGTTCCTGAAATGGTCATTGATTTATCATGGCTATCTAAAGACCTGGATAACAACATACGAATTCACTAACCTTAGTGGGGCTATGCCATGGCTTGGGAACGAGGCCTTGATCCAAACAGATCCAAACAACATGTCACATGATTTTCCTATGAACCATACAGACCATGCAGCTTCAGCTTCTGAGTTGTGTTTTCCTATTTTCCTAGTTTCCTGTTTCCACTTTTTTAATTGGGTATGGGTCAATACCTATATATAGATACATTTTAGTGGGATGAACATCCATTTACCAGCTATTTTGGGGTTCACTAGGTACCAGGGTTTTGACCCATCCTCAATTGTGTTTCTGATCCCAGAATTTTCCTGGCGTAGCGCGGATCCAGCTTTGGCGGGTTTTTTTATCACCAGGACCAGGTCGATGGCGCGAGATGGACATGCATCGAATCGCGGGAATCGCGCTTCGAAATTTTCCGGACAGTCTCAAAAACAGTACCCATAGGATCCATGTATGCCATATATGGTAACATTTACCATTAATATACCCCAAATGTTAGCATATATATATATATATGGCATACATGGATCCTATGGGATATGCTTAAGGTGTTTTACCTTCATACCCATGACGGATCCATGGTGCTGCTATATATGGTGTGCCATGGATCCCATCAATATACCCCCTTTATGTTAGCATATATACCAGCACCATGGATCCTATGGGATATGAAATGGAAATCTCTAACCTCTGGCACTTTTCATAGCCCACAGTTCTGTGGGTCCACGGCCTCAAGGCCTCAAATCTCCATTTGATGAATTTTGCTAAACAACCTGTTGAATCTCCCAGTTGTTGCTGAATTATATTAACATTGGGTATATGAAAACAAATAAAAACTAGTTCTATTCCCATAATTAACTAAATTATATAAAAAACTAGTTCTATTCATTCTTATCAATTTCATCGAATTGCATCACAGTTGGTCTCGATCAAAGCATGGATTTTCCGCCGTCAGAGGCTGGCCATCAACGAACAGCGTTGACACCTCGGACGCCAGATGAGATCACGGTCTCAGTTCTTGGAACGAGAAATTCCATGCAAAAGCCATAGGGCGATACAGAGCAAACATGTTGTGGCGATGAAAACTGATGAAACCAATATGCTTAATGTAGTGGTGAAGATCATGAACGTGGGGACGTAAGGATTCTATATTCGACATGTTTCTTGTCGGAAACGGGCAAGGAAAATTGGAGAAGTCAGTCACCCACATGGCCAAAAATCCCATCTCCGACCGGATAGATACAGGGGCACCCCCAAATCATCCATGCTTTTTTTTAAAGGAGTGGCAGGGCGGCAATTTTTTTTAGCCATCCATGAAATGGGGATCCTGTCTTTTTTGGAACCCCCCATCCCGATGGATTCCTGGAGACCGAAAATGAACCCCTTTTTCGGCCAAGCGCCTTGCTGATACTTTGTGGAGAACAGATCTAAAGAAATTGCGCAACTGGCCATGTCCAAAGATCAAACACCACGTCTGAAACCCTTTCTCATTATTTAGCAGAACTATGACACATGGCTTTTTACTGCTTTTTCATGCATGTAAAGCCATCTTCATCCGTGGCGAGAAACCGATGTCAAAAATAATTGTTCGGAATATCTTTGGACATGTTCCATCCTTCGCGTTCAGTGAGACACTTTCAAAATGGATGTCTTCACTTCCATACCTGCAGTGCAGTGACCGCGTCTTGGTCACACCATTTGAAAAAACGCCAGTCCAATCCACAGGACCTACAATCACAAGTTGGCATAATGTATTGACAATTGAGGATGGGTCAAACACAAGCATCTCCAAAATCTGTAGATGAACATCCAAGAATATCTTTCCCTAAGTCCTTAGTGATGTCCACAAGGGAGGCAAAACATCTGAACATATCTGGGATGGACATCCAATGATATTTTTCTCGAAGTCATCTTGGTGATGTTCACAACAGGTACAGAGTTTTGAGCCACAAACAAGTGGCTTTGAGTAAACTAAACTACTGTGAATTGGGGTGGCTGGGGTTACATTCCCATACTGGTGGGTGGTGCTTTTAACCCGTCTCAAAACACACATAATCTCAATCAATCATCCCAAGTATAGTTGAACAACAAACAAATACCATCTGGTAATTTCACGTACCTACGGAATATAAATAAACATGACCATTCTTACTAGGTAAATGGGCAATCGTCCAGAGAACTGTTTTGAATTACCAGGGAGTATTTGAACCTCCCAACCAACACAAGTCTTTTTACAAACTTCCAGCATTCCACTTCCCCATCTGCAAGCCCTTTTGGGGGATGGCTGCCCAACGTCTCTGGGAAAACTGCTATTTTGGGGGTTTCCATAAATGGGGGTACCCCCAAATGGATGGTTTATAATGGACAATCCTATTCAAAATAGATGATGACTGGGGCTACCCCTATTTTAGGAAACCTCCATATGATCCATACCTGACGTCGGCCCCTTTTTTTGGTCCCCTTACTTGGCGGAATTCGTGGCTATATACTTTCACTTGTTGGGGCCTCAAATGTACAGTATCCCCAGTGATTAAACATATCCATTTGTAATCTTGCATTAAAATGGTAGGTAAGTATATTCAATGACTGTCAATATAGAATGAATGTATGTAGATATGTATACTGTATATGAAAATATGATTATATTAATATATATATATATACATACGTATATATATATACATACGTATATATATATATATATGTACATACTATATATATATATACGTATATAATTATTTATATTTGCCCCCATTATATCCACAATCCCCAAGCATCAAACATGCCCTTTTAAAATGGTGGCTTGTTCCACCCCTTTTTTTTGGCCCCGTTGGTCTCCAGGTCGCCTCATTGTCTGGCCATCTGCCAGCCCTGGACGCCCACGTTGGGTGGATAACAACTCTGAGAGAAGGCGGGCAGGGCAGCCTGAGATTGCCACTGAAATGGGGGGTTCCATGGTTGAAATTGGGGTACCCCTATGACTTATGGATACTTATGGTTGGTTTATTTCATGGAAAATCCCATCTAGAAATGGATGATGATGATTTAGGGGTACCCCTATGACTTAGGAAACCTCCAAATGGAAAGGTCAATGTTATCTACAGTAGGTTATGAAGAACTGTAGTATTTTATCATCTACAATTACAATCATGAAAAATCGGCACTGGGATAATTATGTTCCCATGGTGATGTTCTTTAAATTGCCGGGAGGTGTGTCTTGTTATGTCTTGTTGTGTTTTGCGTGGCCTTATTTTTCAAAACGGGGCTGATTATGGCCCGTTAAAAAGTGACGCAACTGTTAACATCTAAATATTCTAACTTCAACACTACGGCCAACCAGAAAACCATTGCCCCTCTGGTAATCAATCGTGGCAATGGTATATTCCCTATAAAACTAGGTGGGAAAATCATCTATCAATGATGTCAATGGCGGATTTTCAATTGCTACATTTGATGACAACAATGGCCAACCAACATTCTCTTGGAGTAGAATCATCCTCAATATCTTCCAACCTTCTTTTTGTAAGGGCTCATGCTTCTTTAAACGGAAACGGGCCCATTAAAAGACGTAGTACATCCCTACAGCTGCCCTGCATTCGTAGCTTCCAAGTATTGTCCACATTCTTCTCCCTAACTTAGGGATAAGAATGGGGATAACACTTGGAAGCTTCTTTTATGCTTAAAAAAATATCTGAAAATTTACTCTACACAAAGCATCTCTAATGTTAAGTTTGTTGCCACAAGGAACTGCACGCTCATAGTATTGCCGAACTTCATCTTTCTCTGGCAAGTCGTTCAGACTCCATCCTGCGATCTGGAAATCCCATGGTGATGAAAAACCAGGCGCCTGGCCGTTCCATATATTTTACACCTGGCTCTTCATTTTATGAATATAATGCCTGATCTTAACTTCCTCATTTTATGTCTGTTTATATTTATACCATCCCCTTTGGGTTGGATTCCATCAGCCTTGGCCTTCGAACACCTCTAAGTCACCAACACATCACATGCATCAAACGTGCTGTTGCCTTTCAAGGAGGCCGTGGCACTTTGGATGACGTACAAAGCCGCCAGCAGTTCCTTACGGTTTCGATTCGAGCTGGGTTGATGCACCCGTGAGGGGTCCTAAAAGGGGTTCCCCAAAAAATGAGAAAACTGGTTGTTCCAGGTAGTTTTACTATTGTTTACCTTTGTTTACTTCATAATTAATTCCCAGGCTTCCAACTGTTTCATTCTTTGGGGGTGGCTAAAACCAGAAATCCCACCCAAATTGGCCCCAAGAATGACGCATCGGCTCCTAATTAAGGGTCACCGGAAGGCCGCCATGTCTGCCAGTTGTTGCTGTCTCTCTTTAAAAAAATGGTTACCCTGCAGGTCAACTAATTGTTGCTGTCTGTGGGTAAAACAATGCCATACCCCACCCACTGGGAACGGTTTTTACATACTGGGCTATTTCCCCAATAGTCATTTCATCTGATACTTAAATGGTACCCTCTGGTAAACTAACATAACTATGGAAAATCACCATTTTTAATGGGAAAATCCACTATTTCAATGGCCATGTTCAATAGCTATGTTAGTGATTTTTCTGGGTGATGGATCCAGGGTTGCCATCGAGATCTACGCTCCAATCTCAAAACATCAACCATCGTTCACAAGATTCATAAAGACAGCATAAGGGTCAACGTTCCGAAAAAAAAAAAAACAACAACAATCCATATATTCAATGGCCATTTCAGGATCCTAGATTGGAGGTACCTACCATATATAAGGCCTATGTAAGGCCTATGTAAGGGAATATCCCCAGAAAATATGGCCTTATATGGTACAGTATCTTCATTTTAGGATCCTGGAATTCCCATTGATATATAGATTGATAAACATTAAGATGCACATCGTCAAAATCAACAGTAAACATAAACATAGACGTAAAGCATTTGATGAACCATATGCATGACCTCTATTCAAATAGTTGTCCCCAAAAAGATGCCGAAAAACAAGCATCCAATCCATTTTCTGATGTGATGACACTTACTTCTCGGCATCTTTTTGGGGGTTACTAAACATTAATAGTCATTGATAAACAATCAACACACATTTGAAAACACATCATAAACAGTATAAAAAACATTGGAAAAAATAAGATCAACAAAATTCAGAAAACCTTAAGGAAGACTTGGAACATCACTGGTTGGTGGTATACCTACCCCTCTGAAAAAATATGAGTTCGTTAGTTGGGATGATGACATTCCCAATATATGGAAAGTCATAAAATTCATGTTCCAAACCACCAAGCAGTACTAGTTAAATCCAGTTGTATTCCCACTAAACTCACCATGACATCCAGCAGATCAGTATATTTGGTTTATTAATTAGGGGGTATTTCCCCAATAGTCATAATCTGATACTTAAATGGTATCCACCCCAATTCAACAACCGATTGGGGTTTATTTTCATCCAGGGTTGACATTATACTTCCATCTGGTTATGACTAACAGTTTGCCATGGAAAGATCCACCAATTTTGAATTAGGGAAAACTCACTATTTCTATGGCCATCTATACCATGGCTATGTTAAATCACCAGAGGGTATATCCCATTTATATCCCATTGAATCACTATAAAGTTCCATTAAATAACTATAAATCCCATTGAACACCATTAAACTACCAGAGGGTAATATGTATATGGTAATATATATATATATATGGCTATGAGTCAAAACCCTGGTACCTAGTGAACCCCAAAATAGCTGGTAAATGGATGTTCATCCCCCTAAAAATGGTATTAATAGGTATTGATCCATAGCCATATATATACTTCAACCATTCGAAAACATTCCGAAAAAAAAAATCACACCGTGGACGAACCAAGCGTCGCAATCCGCCAGGGTCAAGGTGTCGCTGACGGCGTATCTCGTCCCAATGGGCAGCGCAAAGAGATGCATTCCTTGGCGCCATGGCCATGGCCGCCATGGCCATGGCCGAAACGGAGGTTTTCCATGGGAAAAACGGGAAAAACATGGGAAATCTCTAGAAATTCCATGGGAAAAGACATGGGAACATCTAGAAAACCATGGGAAAACACATGTTGTTTTTTTAAATGAAATAACTATCGCAAGTAAATGGATTGTGGAAGCCATGTTTGATTAGAATGATTGTGAAAAAGAAATCACATCAAAGTGTTATAAAGGGTCTTATCTATCATACATTATAATGCTTGTCTATTCTGAACATATTCAATATTTGAGGAGCATTATTTTAGATAAGATTAGATAAGTAGATCAGTACTATCATTCTGAAATTAGAAAGGACATAGAAGATAAAAAATATGAAAACTGGAGGACACAACAACATCAGTACTGGTAGCACATAATAACTGCTGTATGTTTTGAAATATAATAGTTTGTGTTTTATATAATGTTGATACCTGATTATAAAATACTATAACTTACATAATAACTACAATATTATGTATAATTGGTTGAACATAATACAAGTTATTGCGATAGTCAACATTGCCCACTACAAGTAGTTATTATCAACTTATTAATCTAGGGTTAACCATTTCATAGCTGTGGCCGGTGAATTGGTTGAACATATATCCGGTTGTAATGGTATATGTACCAGTTACAAGTCGAGTAACTAACTCCATGGCTAATCGAACTAATGTGTTGTTGTTACAAAGCAAAGCTATGAACTCTGAATATGTACACCTGTACATAATACATTGTATGCATAGTGCTTATTATTACGTACTTAGCAAGCAACACTTGGATACATGGACAAGTATACCTTTGGATATATGGCAAACAAGTCTCTATCTCGTACACATCAAAACAGGGCTTATATGTGATTGATTTTCTGTGTAACAGGTGGCAAATACAATTGGACCTACGGTAACTACATTTAAATATACGGATTTTAAATGTACGAACAGGTATTTTAGACTACCTCCGGGAAGGTTTTCCTTGGCCCGCCCGGCCATTTAAACATACGGAATCCAATTCATTTAAACATACGGCAACTACATTTAAATATACGAACTGGTATTTCATACTACCTCCGGGGCCTCGCGGTCTGGCCCGCCCTCCACATATATTTAATCAATAAAACAAGATGCTCGTTACCTAGACTTTGACCATATAATGGACATTTGGTTTACACACTCAAAAGTTATCCATATGTATTCAACATATTTTCCAGATATGTTCCATTCTTGTCCCCATGCTTTTCCCATGTTTTTCCTTATCACCGATTTTGCCGCCGTCAGACTAAGTCGTCCCAGAGTCGAAACCGCGTCAAAGACATCTGCAGGTTCACCAATAAATCCTCAGCGAGTCAGCTGATGAAAGTCAGGAAGATTTTTTCAAACACATCATGTCGAAGCATCCTGGAAACTCACACTTTTCAGCATCTTTCTGAGGGTTACTTTCAGGATATTTGAATCGATATAAAAATCGAAGATGAACAGGATCATCCTTTAAAACATATTTTTTCGTGCGATTATCAATTATAAATTCCAGCATGGATTTAAAAATGGGTTTCCTTATTACAAACTCTGATCCTAGAGCCGGTGAAACTGGAGGGGGCCATGTTGATGTCAATGGCTCAAAGTCATTGCCCCAAAAGATCCATGGGAATGTCGAGCGCCTTGATCTCCTCGATTCATGCAGCCCTGTTACAGTACCATTCGAATGTGACATTTTTTCCACTCTGTGGGACTGTGGGGGTTCTTAAATCTGAAGTGACTGAAGTGGGAATCCGGATCCCCAGTCGTCACCATGATTGTTTCAATACTAAGTCTTGGTCCTTTCGGATCGATCATGACTGGGGGTACCATGACTTCCCCGGTCGTTTCCAACGACGGATCATGACTGGGGCTGTTTCCCCCATGACCGTTGTGAAACCTCCATGACTGGGAGGAACCTCACAACGAATTGTGTTCCGAACCTCACTGAATCGAGGTAGCCAAGCTTCATCGTCTTTGCCTCGAGTTCGACAACCACAATCTCTAGTTATTCAACCGAGCTATGGAAAATGATCCTTTTAGATGATAGAGATGGTGATTTTCCATAGTAATTCTTAGTATCTGTTAGTTTACCTAAGGGTAACATGGTGATTTTCCATAGTGATGTTTTACCTATGAAAGATGGTGATTTTTCATAGCTACATTAAGCTACCTTGATAGTTGGACCACTGTGAAAGCAGCAGTCTGATGGTCCCCAAGCTCACCGTTGATCCCCGAGAAACATCGAGAAACCACCAACAATGATAGGCATAGCGGCATAACCCCAGTACCCTCTGGTAATTTAACATAGCTATTGCCCATTTGTAGTTGATGTTTCTATTAACATGGTGATTTTCAATAGTTATTGTTAGTTTACCAAAGGGAAAACTGAAAACTATGTAAACTCACTTGGCTTCGGTGATATTTTCGTCATTTCCCGCATGATCGTCGGTAGTCTTAACTATCCTCCGATGCACTTGGCTATGCACTTAAACCCCTCCCCACAAACTGGGCACAAAAAGAGGCCAACCATCAACCATAAACACCAGGTGCTAAAATTAGCCGACCAGTTTAATTTTCTGGTCACATGAAACACCATTCACTTTAAACACCATTCAAAAAGTGACCATGAACATCCATGAACTACCTGACGATCGTTTTTTCACATCATTTTCACCGAACACTTTTGGGATGATTCTCACAATCCAATTCCGATCTACGATGTTTCCGCAGAAATGGTGAAAACATGAACCCAAACAAACCCCCTTCGGTGTCATCAAGCAAGGTGCGGCTGGGAAACCCCCGAATTCAATGAACTCAATGTAGCTGTTGGTTTCAATAGAAATAGGAAAAATCATCGAACGATTGAACGATTGCTGGAGGATTGCCGTGCAGGCCATGTTTGATGACATTGGAGGGAAATCCTACCATTCACCAGTCAGCTGTACCCACTCATATTGGCGTATATCCCCACGAAATAGTACTACAAAATAGAAACATATCCTGATGTAATGGGGCTATAGATATATCCCATTCAATTCCACTTTTTGCATCAATCAAGCTTTCAGATACCTCGACCAAAACTTACTGTATCCCAATGACCAAAGCTCTCTTGTTACAGAAGTACTTTATTCAACTATGAGGGTCAACTATAATATTTCACTAATCTGAAGTAAGGCTATTTTGGGAAAGTTACCCTGCAAATCCCTGCAATCTAACAATTCTTCCAGTGAGGTCGCTATATTTTACCCAGAACTATCCCAGTCGTGTTGGATAAGCAACGCTTTGGCTGAAAAACCACCTTGCTATCTTCTTATTCATTGACCTGCGCACAAAAAAAAGGTCAATTACCATTACCATCCGTCATGAAAAACTGGTTGATTAAATTAGATTAGGATCGACCCTCTGATCATCTAAGATAACTATGGAAAATCAGCATGAAAAGGAACATCATCGAAGCAAATGGTGGATGTTCCATCGCTATGCGGGCCGCTTCCCGGCGAACTCAACCAGCGGGCCCGCCATGTTTGATGACACCATTGCAGGAAAATCTATTCATGACCAGTATTTTTGTCCTTAATACCCATGAGTCACCATCATATAAACAAGATTCATCATCAAATCACCACTAAATCACCATTCAATGACAACGTTGCGGGTAATTCCATGAATGACAATCACCATTATCAATCTTCATCAATACTAACTACTCATCACCACTACATCACCATCAAATCACCATTCAATGGGAATTTCATGATATTAAAATGAAGGTACTGTACCATACAAGGCCATATTTTCTGGGGATATTCCCTTACATAGGCCATTGAACCATGAAAAATCACCTGAGTTCATCACCATGAAAGATGGGCTCAAAAGACAATCCTCACCCAGCTGCTGCTGTCGCTGTTCTTGGTAAACTCCGCCACCGCCGGGAAGATTGCGGCGCGGGAGACGAGCTGCGCATAGTCCTGGCCGAGTTGATGGCTTCAACGGGCGGCAGTCGTAAAGGACATGGGAATATGAACATAAACTATAGTTTATTTATAGATTCTCTATAGTTAATCTATACTTAATCTGTGGTAATATATATACGTATATATACATAATATATATATACACGCAAAAACAATGGATGATAACTGATGATAATGGATGACTATTAGGGAGCTTGGGACGAAATCTCTGGTTTTTCTACATGTTGATATTGGGGAAATCAACAAAACATGGATGAATAATGGATGATTAACATGGAATTCCTGGACCACTTCTGGATGTGAAATACCTGTATTTGCCCTATCAATCTATTCTAAATAGCGTGATTTTCCATAGCTATGTTGCATAGCCAGAGGGCTATGTATGATTGTGGGATAGTTTGATGGATTGTATGCTACTGTATACCATTGGAAGAATGGGGTCAACATCCACAAATAGTTGGTGATTATTGTGGCACTAACCATTACTAATGTCGGCTGAATAGTTTTGTGCCACAAAGGGATAGGAAAGGCCTCTTTTCCACCAGTGATACTTCCGTTCATATTGGGTTTCTAGAATTCCAACCTTGACGACTAAGCATTGGTGCCCCGGTTTGACCCTGGCCTAGTGCGGGAGATGTTGATGTGAGATATGCAAAACGCAAAAATATAGCCCCTCTAGGCCACCTGCAAGATATGCATTGCAGGCGTGTGCACGACTATGCACAAGCACTGTATACGTAACATGGAATGCTTCACAGATATCAAATCTGATATCCTACAAACAACTCCATTTTGTAGCAAGTGCAAAGAATGAAACTTCTATCATCAAAACATCTTTCCGCAGAAAATGGACATTTCAAGGCTGATTTCTGCCGTGTTTTTTTTTGCCAAACATGTCCACACCAAAGTGTCCTCCGGCACTGCCAAACTTGGACCTGGGAAGGTCATATCGATCCACTTCAAAATCCTCGGAGGAATGGATGGACCACCACAAACGTCTGGGAAGATTGAGCTGTTGTGGTCCAAACGATTCCCAAACGATTCCAAACCTGAACACAAACACACAATTTGGGCTAATGCATCCCATAAAGAAAAAGGCATTTTTTGGAATCAACCAACCAGATATTCGAATGTCTCAAGATTCTCAAGCATCCTGAAGTTGAACCTCTGGCACACCCGCTTAACCGTGCCTGACCCAGACCAGAAACGTCAGGACCCGTGCTTAACACAGGGTTAACAATCACGGACAATCTTGGATTTCCTCCATTCACATGACCAAGCATGACAACATGTTCCTCGATCCAGTCCCTGGACCCTTCTGAATTGACGTCCACATTTTTGGATAGTTACATCTCCATCAGGAGCTTTCCAGTGTGTCATGGGGCTACCCCCAGTCATCATCCAGTCGTCATCCAGTCATCACCATGACTTGGGGATCCCTCTATCGATGTCCACCAGCACCATCTTCTTTCTCAGGATCTGAGAGGTTTCCACATGCGCAATACCTTGATGAACCACCTAAGTCGTGGCGGTGGGGATGCAGCATGCACCAAAAGGTGCCCAAAAAAAACTCGGACGATGTTGGGATATGACTTGATATATATATATATATATATATAACCCCTAGAACTGTTAGCTTGCTTTGTTATACATATATACATATTCACTTATAACTTAGGCATACTTAGCCTATGTCTTGTAATGTCCTGTAATGTTTTGTAGTCATATGGGGTTCACCTGGGTATTTCTGAAAAGTGGAGTACATACTTTGAAAAAGATCACCAAATCATGAGTCTAAATATCACCATCCCATTTTTGGGGCCCAAAATTGCTCCAGCAAAACTGCAGTTTTGAGGGACAAAGCTTGACAACGTCATCAAATTTCAAAGACGGCAAAGCAAAGTATATTGTACTGATTGTACATTCCCATAGGATCCATGGTGCTGCCATATATGGTAACATGGATCCCATCAATATACCCCCAATGTTAGTATATATACCAGCACCATGGATCCTATGGGATTATTGACGAAATAGAACTCCCGCTCATTTTCGATTAGACTTTCATGCAAAGCCAAGCCAACAAGCATGCTGGCTATGCGCCACATCTTCCAAAGCGGCTCTGGGCTCATGACAAGCAGTCCGTATGCCCAATTGAGTTGTTCAATGGATTGAACTTCCATTTTCTATAATTAGGTGAAACGAAACGGACATCGCAATTGTTGTATATTTTTGTTGGCCCATATCCATGCTGTCAAGGGGCACATGGCATCTGGCCAGCTACTTCTTGAAGCAGCCAGGGAGGTTTGTTGTTTGGACCACAGGGCACGACGTCGTAATCCACACCTTTCACCTTCCTTGGAAGTCTTGGTGAATTGATTGCGACGGAACAGTTGGATGTTTCCATGGAAAAACAACACACAGCTGGCAACGGTACCCTCTGGTAAACATACAAAAAAATATGGAAAATCACCATGTTTAATGGGAAAACTCACTATTTCTATGGCTATTTTCAATAGCTTTTTGTATGTTTACCAGAGGGTATCAATTTGGAGGGTTGAACGCACATATAAAAAAACCATAGGAATTTGGATACATCAAGAATTCAAGGTACATCAAAACACGGAGAACATGCACAAATTCGGATGGATGGACCCCCCACATTCCTCTGTGAAAACGTGTGAAAACTCGTGGCTCTTGATACCGACCTGGACAACAAATCCACCACGAGTTGGGATGATTGGTTCCTGTTGGCCCGAAAGACCAATGTTCCCTAGTCGTGCCATATCTTGCGGGTCAATTTCCATTTTTTTTAAGAAACATCCGACATCCGTACCATTGATATAATATTGTTAATTATTTCATGTTATATAGATCCCATGAAATCATGAAATATCCCCACAATATCCCAGTATACCAGCAATATCCTCAACGTTGTTGCTATCTTGTTATATGTACATTCCCAGTGTATTCCCGTTAATGTCGGATATCCTCAAACGTCAACTGGGAATTGCCATAATTCAGCTGTTTCATCACAAGTTTACCTTTTGCAACTGCTATGACTAGGTGGTGTAATCCCCATGTTCAGATTGATCATCGCACTGATAACTGATACTATTTCATTATTGCAAGTAATCAAGTAATCATTATCCAATCTTATCTTAGTTTCTTGTATGAGTAAGATGGTGCATCGCCTTCAGAATCAGACACGGCTAATTACGGTAACCCATCAACCCTTCCAGTTGGGGGTTTCTCAAGTCATAGGCGATCCCCAATGCACCATGGTTGTTTCAATACTGAGTCAGTGTCTAAGGACTGGATGATTTGGAGGTGCTTCCCCATGACTTAGGAAACTCCCATATGTTGATTTAGATATTGGATATATATATATATATACATATGTATATATATATATAATTATGTATATATATATATATAATTATGTATATATATATAGATAGTTATGTATATAGTATATATATATAATACAAATATAATATAGATCTAGTCATAGAGAAACCCCCACTTTAATCTTTTGGGGATCCCCCCATGACTTCAGAAATTTCCACTTAACCCAGCGCAATCATCCAAGTCTCAGCGCAATCTGCACCGCGTGGCTGAAGGGACAATCGCCCAATGACACGCCGTCGGGGGCAGCTTTGGTGAACAAGGTCCTAGGAGCCCCCCGAAGTGCCTAGTTGCTTTATATAGCTTGTGTACGGGTTATAATATGTTAGGGTAAGATAAGTGGGTTATATCGCAATGCTTGAGATAAGTAGGGTTATAATATGTTATAATTGCCTTCTAAGAACCTAATAAGTGGGGTTGATCCAAGAAGCCACCCTGTTAATTACATGCTAAGTGGTTGACCTACCCCTCTGAAAAATATGAGTTCGTCAGTTGGGATGATGACATTCCCAACTGAATGGAATATCAAAAAAAAACATGTTCTAAACCACCAACCAGGGATGCTTTGGTGAAATTTCCGTGGCTCAAGATCAGGACGGTGAAGGGATTTCCACGACTTAGAGCTTTGGCAAACCTTCTCAAACCATTTTGGCACAATATTCCCTCTATTTGCAGAGTTGTTTTAGCCACATTCACAAGAAACAATTTGGATTTGAATCGTGAAAAAAACTGTTCCCTCCCTTTCCACGGCCAATCTTACAAATCTTAAGCCCCTTGCAATCAAATGGACTGTTAACAAAAAGTTAGTCTATATCCTCATTTCGCAAAATAATGCAGTAAGTTGTATTTAAACACTAGCATGAGTGAAGAATCGGGACACTTGTTCATAGCAGTAATATCGCTAGTGCTAACCGCTTATAACCAGCGATTCACTGCATAATTGTAACATATCACAGTAAACTGTCATTACTAAAAGTTACTAAATATCATATCATACCCTCTGGTAAACTAACATAACTATGGAAAGATCCACCATTTTTAATGGGAAAATCCACTATTTCTATGGTCATTTTCAATAGCTATTTTGACATAACCAGAGGGTATCAACTCATATCAGAGTGAAATCCATCCCATTACCTGCAGATTTTCCCGAACCGAGCCACGTGCGAAAGGGTTTCTCCGTGGGCACCGCCGCACAGGCCACGCGCGTTGCGCGCGTTTCGCGCTGGCCGCGGCGGCGACGCAGCAAGCCGCCCAAAGTGGCCTGCAGTGGCCGTGGGGGTTGCAGTGGTTGAAGCAACAAGAGAAAAAAGGGGAAGATTCGCATTTCATGGGATTGGTTGAAGGGAACATTCTCATGGGAAATGTAATATACATATTTAAGGGAACATTTACAGGACACCTCGCTATTTGATGGGGAAAACCATGGGGAAAACCATGTGAAAACCGGTGAAGAGGTTCCCATAAAAACCAATCCAGTGAGTATACTGGGCGACATAGATCCAAGTCCTATGTTCCATTCCCCCTCCAGCGGGGCACCCGTCTACCTGAAAAAGATTCAAAGGGTTGACATAGGGTTGACATTCTGACCTATTGGGTTAAATATACCCTCTGGTAATTTAACAGTTTGCTATTGAAAATGACCATAGAAATAGTGGATTTAGCTATTTAAAATGGGGGATCTTTCCATAGTTATGTGGCAGTTTACCAGAGGGTATCATCAAATATATATATATATAAACAAAAAGGGTAGGTTGGTATCAACTGTATCACTTTATCAAATACAAACGCCAGCAATGTGGGTTGATATATGTTGATATTATAAAATAACTCAGCGGCGAGTAGTGGAGATGAATCTGGAATCACTATATTACTGGTCATGAGACATTACTAGTGACATTACTTATCAACTATCAACTATTGGTAATTATATAGTGGGAGTCTTGTGATAGTCAAGAATTATCCTAATCCTCAATGCTAGAATTACTAAGTCATACTAAGTCATGGTTGTCTGTAGATAGTGGTATTTAACTATAGCCATAATCCCATATGCTCCATGGTGCTGGTATATTTACCTACATTTGCCCTAATAATCACCCAGTTTTGTAGGTAAATATACCAGCACCATGGTTCGCATATGATATTCTGGGATAATGATTACCATATCATCAGCAATTTTCGTAAGGTGATCATTAACTGAACATGGGGATACCACCTACAGTCAGAGCAATTTCCACAGGTAAATTTAAGTGAGAGAAACAGTGGAAAAAAATGACCATTTTGCTCATCAATAATTTATTGTCTATAATCAATCACAGCAATCCAATCTAATGTGAGATTAAGTGGGATCGAATGGAATTGAATGTGCTCTATGTTCACCATTAAGGGAAATAACCCTGCATTCAAGACATCATGTGGGAGTCAATGGTATATAAAATTATATAAATTGGTCATTATGCAAGCAACATGGCTTTGGAACTATAGACTATAGTTGTATCTACCATAAACCCAATTAGCTATCATAATTCTGGGGCTCCCAGAATTAGGCGTCCCATGATAAATAACTGGGGAGATTGTGACCAGGTTTTTTGTTATCCCATCAGTTGGTTATATTACTTGGTTATAATATGGATGTGGGTCAAAATGGAAGACCTAGGGGACCACAGATGTGAATGTCTAGTTTAGTATTAACCATCCAATTATCGGGGTACCTAATTTTGACCCATACCCATATAGCTTGGTTACAATGTATCAATGGATTGGTTTAAGGGAAATTTAAAGGAAAGCCCCATATTTCATGGGAAAATCTATGGTTTCCTGTAGATTTTCCTTGAACCAATCCATTGAATATAGCTATTCCATAGTTATTCCCACTTCCCCAAGCAGATCTTCCGGTTCCCACGGCCTTCCCAGCAACAGCCACTGCGAATGCACCCGCTGCCACGGTCACGGCTCGCCCGGGCGGCGCAGTTCCGACCATCGCCGTGCTGCATGGCGCCAGGGAGGGCGCGGGGCCCGCGGGGCGCAGCGCAGAGCCCGCAAGGCCGCCACGGGTCATGGGAAGGCCTTCCATGGTCAAAACTTGGGTAACTTGGGCGGCCTTGACACGAAACTCCTGCAGACCGAACATGCTGGGATTTTTCATGGACTGACATTTTCAGTGAAATGGAGGAAACCTGGATGATTTTTTGTTGAGATACTTGTTGGACAAGTGGCTGATGATTTTTTGGGGGTTGAATCATACATATGTTGTTGGGTATTGACAGGCCATGATTGCACTGAGGTCCATGCGCAAATGCATCGGCACCATAGAACACATATATATATATACAATGTGAGGCCCCCAAGATAGCTAAGTTGTTTTTTAACTCCAATAACTATGGTTTATGGTATTTATAACTATAGTTACTGGGGCGTATAAATCAACTTATAACTAGGGGGCCTCACATTGTATGAATAATATATACATATATATATAATATATATAATATATATATATAATATCCCTAAACATAGAAAAACACTGTCACTATGTTAGTGGGGATTTACTTTTCTCCTTTCTCTATGGTTGCAATACATCAAACCAAGACGATCACAGACCTCCATTGGATATCCATGGTGCTGGTAGAAAATGCTAACATAAAGGGGGTATATTGATTGGATCCATGAAAAACCATATATAGCAGCACCATGGATCCGTCATGGGAATGAACATCAATGAACCAATTTTTCATCCGCTCCAGATGGCACCACCTGATGGCACCTTAGATCCTCACGATGATCCAAGGTTCCGACCGCAGCAACTCGCCGCGGCGTCCGTTTCAAGCCATGGGTTTTACTGGGTATGGACGTGCAGCACGTGTACCCCCCATTTTCCATCATCCATCTTAATAGGATTGTCCACAAAAAAAACCATCCATGAATGGGGGTAGCCCCATTCATGGAAACCACCATGGGAGGGCCAGCTTTGAACCCGTGGCTGTTTTTGAGAATGATGTGCTACAAGAGTTCCAAGATTTGGAAAACAATGAACAACATCATTTCATATAAACATATATAAACTGCATGTTTGATACATAAAGACACTGTAAACACTCCTTGGACTTGCAATGTTGTTGGAAACCCTTGCAATTGATTCGTTCAAGGTCTGTCCCGACATCGCGATCGCCTGGATTTTTGATAAGGCTTGTCCTAAAGCAGTTGGGAAAATCCTATCATCTCATGGCTGAAGAAAAACATGTTTTTGAACGGATTGGCATTTTTTTGGAGCACCCCGAAAGCTATTTGGAAGTTTCATACAACATTGACCAGCCTTGAAACAGCTTGAACAACGCCGGAGGAAGTTGGGGAAGTTGGGAACAGACTGTGCGTGCTATGAAGCCAATAGTTAATGGAGGTTTCCTAAAATCGGGGTACCCCAATTTCTGGAGGGTTTAGAATGGAACATCCAATTAAACATGATATTTTAGGACTACTCCTATTTTAGGAAACCTCCATATAACGGTCAAACATTTTCAAAGAATTGGGTACAGTACTACCCAAAAACCAACGAGGGCTGTTGGCTCATTTGGACTCCGAAAAGATCCGAAAAACACACTTTCAACTGATTTCTGAGTCACCCATTCGTTTCCCAGTTTCCCACTAAAACCCCTGCAATTCAGGGATGTTCAAGCCATGTTTGACAACACCGAAAGGCAAATTGGATGACTTACCATTAATATCAATATCCATTAGTCACCATTAATCACCATTAATCACCATTAATCACCATTAATCACCATTAATCACCATTGATCACCATTGATCACCATTGATCACCATTGATCACCATTAATCACCATTCATCACCATTGATCACCATTAATCACCATTGATCACCATTGATCACCATTAATCACCATTAATCACCATTCATCACCATTGGTCACCATTAATCACCATATCACCATTGATCACCATTAATCACCATTGATCACCATTGATCACCATTAATCACCATTGATCACCATTAATCACCATTAATCACCATTAATCACCATTGATCACCATTGATCACCATTGATCACCATTAATCACCATTAATCACCATTGATCACCATTAATCACCATTGATCACCATTAATCACCAGTAATCACCATTAATCACCATTGATCACCATTAATCACCATTAATCACCATTAATCACCATTAATCACCATTAATCACCATTAATCACCATTAATCACCATTAATCACCATTAATCACCATTTAATCACCATTTAATCACCATTTAATCACCATTAATCACCATTTAATCACCATTAATCACCATTAATCACCATTAATCACCATTAATCACCATTAATCACCATTAATCACCATTAATCACCATTTAATCACCATTAACCACCATTAATCACCATTTAATCACCATTTAATCACCATTTATCACCATTAATCACCATTAATCACCATTAATCACCATTAATCACCATTAATCACCATTAATCACCATTAATCACCATTAATCACCATTAATCACCATTAATCACCATTTAATCACCATTTAATCACCATTAATCACCATTTAATCACCATTAATCACCATTAATCACCATTAATCACCATTAATCACCATTAATCACCATAAAATCACCATTAATCACCATAAAATCACCATTAATCACCATTAATCACCATTAATCACCATAAAATCACCATTAATCACCATTAATCACCATTAATCACCATTAATCACCATTAATCACCATTAATCACCATTAATCACCATTAATCACCATTAATCACCATTAATCACCATTAATCACCATTAATCACCATTAATCACCATTAATCACCATTGATCACCATTAATCACCATTAATCACCATTAATCACCATTAATCACCATTAATCACCATTAATCACCATTAATCACCATTGATCACCATTGATCACCATTGATCACCATTGATCACCATTGATCACCATTGATCACCATTAATCACCATTAATCACCATTAATCACCATTGATCACCATTGATCACCATTGATCACCATTGATCACCATTGATCACCATTGATCACCATTGATCACCATTAATCACCATTAATCACCATTGATCACCATTGATCACCATTGATCACCATTGATCACCATTAATCACCATTAATCACCATTAATCACCATTGATCACCATTGATCACCATTAATCACCATTAATCACCATTAATCACCATTAATCACCATTAATCACCATTAATCACCATTAATCACCATTAATCACCATTAATCACCATTTAATCACCATTAATCACCATTTAATCACCATTAATCACCATTAATCACCATTAATCACCATTAATCACCATTAATCACCATTAATCACCATTAATCACCATTTAATCACCATTAATCACCATTAATCACCATTAATCACCATTAATCACCATTAATCACCATTGATCACCATTAATCACCATTAATCACCATTAATCACCATTGATCACCATTGATCACCATTAATCACCATTAATCACCATTAATCACCATTGATCACCATTAATCACCATTGATCACCATTAATCACCATTAATCACCATTGATCACCATTGATCACCATTGATCACCATTAATTAATCACCATTAATCACCATTAATCACCATTGATCACCATTAATCACCATTGATCACCATTGATCACCATTAATCACCATTAATCACCATTAATCACCATTGATCACCATTAATCACCATTGATCACCATTGATCACCATTAATCACCATTAATCACCATTGATCACCATTAATCACCATTAATCACCATTTATCACCATTGATCACCATTAATCACCATTAATCACCATTGATCACCATTTGAAAGATTACCCATCATTAATCAGAACGAATTTTTGGGGTATCCACCTAGCAACTCTCAAAAGAAGCGGCCCGTCTTTTGGTCGCTGGGAGATCTGGGAGACATGCCACAGGCTGCCACAGCACTCCGCCATTACTTGGTGCTCGGCTGTGTGGCAGGATATATCCAATTCTTTATCCAATTATCATTTCTTTATCTATCTGATTATTGAATATTATTGATTGGTATGTCTAATTGATTGGTAGGATGTACCCGTTGGTAAACCAACATAGCTGCGGAAAATTGCCCATTTAGTTGAATAAGTTCCCTATCAAAAATGTGGATTTTTCCGCAGCTATGTCAGTTTACTGGAGGGTGTCCAAGTATGTATGCAATTATCCAATTGTTGATGTATCCAATTGTTGATTGGGATATAACCATCCAGTTATCAAATTATCTGACAATATTCATTGGTACATATCCAATTCAATAGCATTTGTTTGTCCAATCATGATTTACATTAATTATTTCTATCTTTTTCCAAATGCTATATCCATTCAATGGGAATTCCAGGATCCAACAGATGGAGGTACGTAAACGTACCATATTTCTGGCCATATTTTCTGGGGATATTCCCTTACATAGCCCTGAAAAATCGGTCTTGTAGATGGTAGGTACCTCCAATAAATCGGTTCCTGTTGCATGGCCATTGAGCCATGGATCTCTCGGTGCCAGTTGGATCAGTTTTTCTTCCGGACTTGGACCCTCCAAGCAAAGTAAAAGTCCCAAGCCAGAAGTTGTATATTATCCCATTTTTTCCTGAGGTATTTGGGAGTCCAAGTATAATACATACATACACACATATATATATTTGTATATTATATCCATGTGTAACAACAATGCAAGCATTGGACTCTCCATCCAAAGTTTCCTCAGGATCCCAATGCGCAAAAACATCACGTTGGCGTCTGTACCCCGCTCCAAAAAAAACTGAGCTCAAGTGGAAACATCTTCCCAAGTAAACATATGTTACATTGTGTTACATTGCAGTAAATCCTGCTTCAAATACAAAAAAAACGTAAAAGAAAATAACACCTGTGGCACTGGTGTGGCACTTAAATAATCTGTCCGCCAGCCATGCTCGCGAAGCTTCCAGAAGTCTTAAGCCCATAACTCCGCGGTTGATGCCTGGTGTTTTTTCACCATTTCCAGCGAGGACTGTGATGAATAGATCATTGCTTGACGTTTTGTTACAATATGTTATGT